ATATATGTATGTATGTATGTAAGAATCATATTATTCTTGGAATTAATTACTATCAGGTATTATTAGCATATTATACAATTTCAAATATCACGTGCTTGTAATTCCTTGAAAGAGTATAAATAGAAGAAGTTTTCCTCAAAAACAAGGATATAAATTCAATGATTGTAACGCATCTGTTCCATTTTAATAGAACGATTTCTTTAACGTGTTTCTATCACAATTTACTTTTGTTAGAAACAAATTAATCGTCAAAGTGTTGAGAGAGAGAGAGATCAATCGTTTGATTTTTTTTGGGAAATATCGAAACTTACTATCGACAGGTATGTTAATTAATTACTTCTTTTATTATTCAAACAAAGTCATCATAATTTGATGATTCTTTTAATCGGGATATAACAAATGATTAACAAATTCGAATAAAATTTTGAAATATTTATAATTGACATTACATATCCATAAATTAATTGTATATATTTTTCAATATACGTAATTGTGTTTATTTATAATGTGTTTCGAATATAATAATAGAACAATAATTACATATATATATATTTTTTTTTTGTCGAACAGGATGAAATCTTTCCGAACAAGTTTTTTCTCAATTTTATTCGTGAATTTAGCAATGACAGAATATGTTAATAGTAAACCATCTTTGGTAACGATACCTCCAGCTTCAGGACGTGCTGAAATAAGAGGAACACGTGTACAAAGTGAAACTACACCAATTGTACCTTCATATGTAGGTGGTTACCCATCTATCATAGTTACAAAACCTATAGGATGTAATACAGGCGAAAAACGAGACGAAAATGGCGTATGTAGGCCAGAGATAAATTGAGAAAAAAAAAAACAAAAAAAGGGAAAAAAAAATCTACTAATTGATTTTCTTTATATATATTTTATCGAATAATAATCACCCTATAAACTCGTGCACTTGCATATATTGTTCTAATTCTAATGGATACATACATACATTTTATTTAAAACAAATAATAATTATTCGTATTTGTTTGATTAAAGTAATGAATAGAATTTTGAAAATGAATTCTTATTCTTTACAAAATATTCTACTTACACAATTTTTACAACACGAATTTAATTAATTATGATGATTCGAATAAATTACGTAGAATTTTTATATTCCATCTTCTCTATATCTATCTATCTTTTTGTTAGTTTAACATTAATATTGATAAATTCTACAATAAAAAATTAACTCTTCAAAATGTATTTTATACGCTTGTAGTTTGTCAATATTAGATTGATTTAATCGTCGAAAAATTGTATATTTCGATTTAAATATTGATACAAAATTTATATCGATGGATAGATAAGATTATAGAAAATTTGTTTGTGTATTGTTTATAAATAGTTTATATACCATATACATTGATTTATGTATTTTTATATTAATGTATTGTTATCTTTGAAAAATATGGAAAAGAAAAGAAAACATAAAATAAATTTGTGTATATTCTAATCAGTAGGAAAATCTGATTTACCTGGTGTTTTTCGAATTTATTCATATTTAAAAATAAAAATAAAAAATGCATGCATATGGAAATACTCTTCGCTTGCGAACAAAGATCACTTTAATTACAATAATCGTTTTATGATTATATATATATATATGAATGTATGTTTGTCAGCATCATATTATTCTTAGAATTGATTACGATCACAAGTTATTAGCATATTAAACAATTTTAAATATCACGTACTTTTAAATCTTTGAAAGAGTATAAAAAGAAGAAGTCTTCCTTAAAAGCAATCATTTAAATTTAATCATTGTAACGTATCTCTTCCATTTCGAAGAAAGATTTTTTTTTTCCAACGTGCTTCTCTACCACAATTTGCATTTGCAARAAACAAATCTATCGTCTAAGTGTTGATTAATCGTTTGATTTTGTTTGGAATTATTGGAAGTTACTATCAGCGCACAGGTATGCGAATTAATTATTYATTTATTATATATTATACACACATGTGTAAACATTTCTCTATAGAAATATATTATTTAAAATTAATATATTTATATTTATAAATTCGTTTTGTGTGTGTAAATATTTTACATGATTTATAATTGTATTTATTTATAATAAGTTTCGAATATAAGAAAAGAAAAATATAGTTATATATATATATATATTTGTTCGAACAGGATGAAATCTTTCCGGATCATTTTTATCTCAATGATATTATTATATTTTGGATTGATAGAATTGGTTATGAGTAAACCAACTGTCCCACCTCAAGTTTATCCACTACAACATTTACATAGAAGAATAATTGCATCTACAACTGCAATTCCACCTATAGATACTACAACCTATGCAATTAGTCGCCCAGCCATCATATATGCAAAACCTATAGGATGTAATTTAGGAGAAAAACGAGACGACAATGGCATGTGTAGGTCTGTCATAAATTGAAAAAACAAAGAAAAGAAAAGAAAAAAAAAAGGCAATATAAAAACTTAAATATTCATTTTCTTTGAATATTTTACCGAATAGTAATCACGTTATATAATCCATTTCATATATATTGTTATAATTCAACGGAATTGTTTAACACACATTGATTTAACTTATATTGTATATTATAAATATAATATATTATATAATATAATTTGTATATTGTTATCTAAATAATTTGTAAAATAATTGATTTCTTTATACTATATCGATAAAATATACATAAATACATAAATACATAAATATATTATAAATGTAGGTTGAATCGCAATAGCGTAAAAATGTTTTATTTCGTTTATCTGTCGTGCAAATCTCTGAAGTGATATCATTCACACCGATGCAATCGATTAACCCGTCCATGAAAACGTTTCCGGTGCTTTTCGACCCGTAAAGAGAAGGGGCCAGCTGTCGTGGAAAACTTTAGGAAGACAAACGATAACCTTTCAGAGCTGAGTCGGCCCAAGTTTTCGCGTATTTTCGGTAGGACGAATGCACCAAATCCTCAACGTGCAGGAAACAGAAGGTTCCTTTCTCTGATATAACCTGTGAAGTGTTTCTAATTGAAAAGTTTCACTTTTACGTTGATATATATCTAACGATACCAACTGTAACCTTTCATTTAATTCCATAATTCATCCTAAAGAGATATCATTTCACATACAAACACGTTTTTATTTTCCCCTAATCGAGACAATTCAATTCTCTTTTTTTTCTTTTTTAATGTAACATCGTATCGAATGTTAACACAACAACTCATACACGTGTGTGTGTGTGTGTGTGTATAATAAAATTAAATAAAAAGAAACAAAATATTCGCGAGGAAGTTAATCAGTGGCATATTTTAAATTGTTCATTGGATAGAACAATTGAACTAGAAAATTACTAGAACCCAAGTTTTACTTCTGTTCCATGTAAATCCAACCAACCCAATAATTTATTCGGAATCCTTCATATGTTGATCATCTATTCGTAATTGAAATAATCGAATCGATATAAAACACGATATAAACTAACTCAACAAATTAATAATATCGGTGAGAGATATATAACACGATGTATAACGAATCAATAGATAGACACAATCAAGATTAATAAAATAAAAGATGATAAAAGAAGAGGGGGGAAGGACGGGGAGAGAAAAGAGAAAAAATAAAAAGATAAGATGAGATTTTAGTAACCGGAGCGTGACTCGAAACGATCCTTCGAATGTTCGAAAATGTTTAGGAGGGTTTATTTACGATGGGTTTATTTTCACGGGCACATGCACAACACAGGTCCAGTAATTTCGTATACGAACTGGAATACCATGGGTACGATCGTAAATAAGCGACGACGAGACAAGGGTCTCTCGTGAAAAGGAAATAAAAAGAGGTACCGTACGATCGCGTCCACTTAACAAAAGTTACGCCCGCATTTCCACCCCTCTTACCCCTCTTCCTCCTCCTCCTCCTCCTCTTAGATCGGGGAACCAGAATCCGTATGTAGAGAGGAAGATACAATGTACGTTATCCGAATAAATTAACGCTGTTTGTTTAGCACGATACTTTATTTTTTCCTTAGCAGCAGATTCAAACCTCTCCCTCCTCCTCCCCCTCTCCTCCTTGTCTTCTTTCTCCTTCTCACCCCATCACCCCACCACCTTTATTCCAACCATCTTTTCTCGAATACTTTGACTCGAACACAATGTGTTATTTATTATAATATTATATGTGTGTTATTATAATTAATTATGATTAATTGTTAAAGGGAGATAGGGTTTGTTAGAAATTATTTGGAATATTAATAATAATGTTAATATAATAAATTTTGTTCTTATCCAAAATGTTTTGTAATATTATTACTAAGTTTAATCTTAGGGATGTTTTTTTTTGGACAGGTTTAAATTAGACGAACAAACTATTTATTAGTTGAACGTTTCGTCCCAATATTTGGGACTTCCTCAGCAACTCGATAGTTATTGTTCACGAATCAATATAACATCATTTCTCATAACAGTCATAAGTATTCACTATCTTATATATAAAGTCAATTTTAAACCGTTATCCTACCATAACTTTTCATCTAATTTAAACCTGTCCAAGAAAAAAAAACATCCCTAAGATTAAACTTAGTAATAATATTAATAATAATATATATATAATAGTTTATTAGCAAAAAGAGAAACAGAAATATGAAGAGTTAGATAAGGAAGTTACATTACAATGMTACTTACACATATACCATGTGGGTTTTATTTGTTTTAATTATAATTTTAATTTTAATAATAATATAATAAACTGGGGTTATGTGAAATATTCGAGAGAGAAAAAATATATAAAATAAAAAGGGATAAAAATCGTGTGCAATCTGGAAAGAAAATATTACGATGTTTAGTATACGTATTCGAAATCTTTGATTATTGAACGAAAGGGAAAAGAGGAGGAGAAAGAGGAGAATGACAAGGATAATAGAAGAATAAAAGAAGTGGAAGAATGAAATAGAGAATAAGAAAAGTTAGGGGAAATTGTAATAGTAGTAGTAGTAGTATCGGTTCAAAGGTAAACGAGGCTCAATTAACGAACGGACGTTGAACGAATGTTCGTGGGTGGCGCGTGTTGTAAAAAGAACTAAAATACAAATAAAAAGAAAAATAAAAGACAAATTTTACAAAGAAAAGTAAATAAGGAAAATGAAGAAAAATAAGAAGAAGAAAAAAACCGAAAGGAAAAAAGAAACACACACACACACACACACAAAGATTAAAGAAAAAGGGAGAAAGAGACAGGAAGCATTAAAAAAAAAAAAGAAGGAGTAGAAAAAAGGAAGGAAGGAAGGAATGAAAGAGGGGTGGATGGGGAGGGGGATAAAAATTCACGGTCTACCCCTCTACTCCAATTATCCTACGACCAATGTGCAAAAAGCATGCGAGAGAGGAATTAACGTCATCCCACACTCTCCTCCTCCTCCTCCTCCTCCTCCTCTTCGTGCCACGAGTCATCGAAAACGCAAAAAAAAAAAAAAAAAGAAGAAAAAAAAGAAAAAGAGGAAAGAAAAAAAGAAGAAGAGAAAAAGAGAGAACGAGACTGGAAGGGGAAACAAATGGAATAAAGAAATAATAAAACTACCCAAGGGATGAGAAAAGGGCAGAAGGGGGAGTTGGAGGGGTGGAGACTAGGATAACGAATGTGGACGTAGTCCGATATGGGAATAATAATCATCATCGGATACTCGAGAAAATAGATTCGGTACGTGAGTACCGAAGGATCCGCGAGTTTATTTTTCTGGGTTCATCTTCAATCATCGATCGTTGATATCACTGTGTCCTGTCTTTCATTAATCTTCGATATTTTAATACTCACTCCCACACACCCTTCACCCTTCACCCTTTACTCTCTTCCTTTCTTTCT